GGGCGCGTGGAGCTCCAGACACGCCGCCCAGAACCTGCGGGTCAACGCCCCAGGGGAATCTAAGGAAAACTCCAAGTCCTCAATGGCTGAGGACTCAGAAACCGTAGCCGTGCAGAGTCGCGAGATCAGGGATGGAGTCGATTAACGCCTGACAGTTAAAACCCTGGTGGAACAGAATCCCAAGGCAGAAGTCAGGGACCAGACTGTTCCTGCTATTTCACTGATTATTCAGGCACGTGAAAATAACACCCAGCGATAGACTGCTGTCCCATCCAGGGAGTACCCTGCCTCGCACCCTGCCTCGGCATAGGCTCTGGCTCCCCGAGTGCCCCTGAATCGGATGGAGCAGACAGAAAACGGCTTAATCTGCCTCTCGGTAGCGACCGTTGACGATTCATTTGGTTTCCTGGATAGCTTTCTCGGTGGAAGAAAATTCCAAGTATTTCCCGATTCAAATGGACTGGCGCATTATCTCCTGCAGTGCTGCTCTGGTGTCCCTGTGGAGGCCAGAGTGGGTCTCTATGTAGGACTGTGTGATAACGGGCAGGATGTGCTCTGAGTGAGCGCCGCGGTTCCGCGTGGGCTCGTGCCCTCCGCCGCTCCACCCCACCCCGCCGGTTTATCCCGCAGCACCTGGGGTGCGAACCGGGGTCTCCCGGTGTGACGCCCCAGGGAACCAGCCGAGTGAGCTAAAGGAGACCCCCCCCACGACGTCGCCGTGCCCAAACTAACTCCGCTACATCTGTACTCTCCTGTTGCTGTTGGCAGGTGGAGGGTGCAGGAATCTGGGCCCTGCTCTGTGTCCTGTGGGCTTGGCGCGGCCCGGCGGACGGTGTCTTGTGTCCGGTTTGAGCAGGGGAGAGACTCCGAGGTGCCCCCGGAGCTGTGTCCGGAGCTGGAGAAGCCCCCAGCCCTGGTGCCCTGTCTGGTGCAAGTGTGCACCTTCAGCTGGGCGGTGCAGGAGTGGACCAAGGTACAGAACAGGCCTGGTGCAACTGCACCAACACACACAAACACACACACACAGGCCCACTTATCACTACCGCTAACCTCACAATGCACGGTTCAGCAGCAATGCACAATCTCCACCTCTGCACTGTCCCCCCGTCCCCCTTAATAGTGACAGCTCCCCCCCTCAGCTGAATCCGAGGGGGTGGCTGTACCAGAACTGAATCACAGACTTGTATTTAAGTTGCGTATTGGTGAACGTGCAAAAGAACAAGTAAACAAGTTGGGTTTCTTTTCTTCTCTTTTCGGCAGGGCATAAACCTCTACTTGTTCCTTTGCAGCCTACGCGTGCTGACGCAGCTCCCTTACTGGTATTATTTAACTTGTTGTTGCTGCTGCTGCTGCTCTGGTGTTTCCTTCATGTCTTTGTATCGGAGCGTACGTGCGAATAGGCATTTCACCGCTCTTGTGCACGTGACGCATAAGCTGAGCTGAACTTATGGAGGGGAAATACATTTTACACGAGCAGGTGGCTGCGTCGGCATGCGTGGGCTGCAAAGGAACAAGTCAACGTTTATTCCCCACTGAAAAGAGAAGAGAAGAAACATAATGTTTCGGCTGTGGAGCGTTCTTCGGGTGTGCCTTCTACATTTCAAACATTTCATCTAAGCATTTCATCGCACTCGTGCAAATGACAAATACACCGAACTGAGCACGATGCAGGGATGCGAGTAGCAGTTTAATGGCGGTTGTGACCTTTAACCCCCGAGAAAGAGCTAGAAACATGCGAGCTGTCTTCCCGTGGCTGTGCGCTGACCCCGTGCCCCTGTCCCTCAGTGCTCGGTGTCCTGTGGCTTCGGGATCCAGTCCCGGCAGGTGTCCTGCGTGGGGCCGGCCACGCCCCACCCCCTCAGCCCCCTGTTCTGCATGCACCTGCCCAAGCCCATCACCATCCAGGGCTGCCACCTGCAGGACTGCCCCCTGGCGCCAGCAGCCGATCCGACGGCCGGAGCCCCCAATAAGGACCAGCCCCCAGCCGCGGGCTCTGACGGGCGCCGGACAGACAGCCCTCTGGGCCCGGATAGGATCGGGGTTCCGGGAGAGGAGCCCCCAGTGCCAGGAACCGCCCCAGATCGGCAGGCGATCCCGGGGACGCCCGCTCCAAACCCGCCGCAGGACCTCGCTGTCACCAGACCAGGGGCCACGCCTGCCCCATCTCGGCCAACGGCAACCCCCAGCAGCCCCCGAGAGAAGCCCCAGTACAGAGAGGAGCCTCTGAGTCCCCCGAAAACTGAGACAAGTTAGGTGGTGGATAAGTCCAACTTCTATTCTCTGTCCTGTCCCCTTTGTGCTCTTCTGATCAGTCTGTGACTCTTATTCTGCATGTTTCTTTACAGTCCTGTTCCTTGCCTGCTGTATGTTTTTCCTGTTCTCTGTGTCACATTAACTGTCTCTCAGCCTGCCCTTCCTGGTGACAGAGGCAGGAACACTGACCCACCTGTTGTCTGTCTGTCCGCTCCAGGTGTGTGCGGCCAGCTGCTTCTGAAGGACTCTGGGACGGTGGACCTGAGGCACGTCCAGTCGCGGGACTGTCTGCTGTCTATCGGCCGGCCCCTGGGCCAGGTCATCCAGGTCAAGGTGGTGTCCAGCTCCCTGAACTGCAAGGACAGTAGGTGACCATAGGAAAAGCCATCGGAAGTAGACAGGATGGCAGTAATTAAGGGTCCATCCATCTGTCTGTAATGGCATTGTCCTTAAAGGACCCAGATAGTAGCCCATCAGGAAGTTAAATCTGCATTAACAGGAAATCAGCATTATGGGTCAAGAAATACAGTT